AGGTCTGAAAATCAGATCTGTCATCTTGTTTATTCTGGAAATTGGTGCTGGTCTTGTGCTCAGATTAAGTCCAAAAACTGCAGTGTGGGTGGACTAATCACTTGTTGTGTGTGGAGATTTTTGTTYTGATATAAGGAGGGATCCTAAGTTGAAGTTTTTTGATAAAAAAATTCTGTGTTGACCATGCCTTTTGAGAATCCTGCTACTTCAGGGATTTCTGAAAATCAAAATGGAGTAAGTGGGGGAATGGATATGAGTTTCCCCATGGCTGTCATTCCCTTTGATGGTCTGAATTACTTTGAATGGTCTAGGGGAATACTACATTACTGCTAGGGGAAAAATAGGATACATCAATGGGAAAGTGAAGGAACCAAAGAGCGGAAGTGCTGAATATGATAGATGGAACCAAAAAAATAGTATGGTGATGTCTTGGCTCTTGGTTTCAATGCTGCCACAGGTGAGAAAACTTTTATGGGGGATGAAACTGCTTGTGAAATATGGGAACAAGCAAAGTCCACCAATTTAGAGAAGAGACACTATGCCAAGATATGCCAACTGCAAGCTGAATCGTTCACTTGTAAGCAAGGAGAAAGGAGTCTCTCGGTGTACTATTTGGATCTGACATCGATATGGAAAGAACTTGATCACTATCAGAATGTTAACTGGAAGTGTGATGAGGATGCAAAGGCATACAAATCACTTGTATCTCAGCAACGGGTATTTGCCTTCCTCTTGGGGCTGAATCCTTCATATGAGTACATTAGGGTGCAGATCTTGGGAAGTAAAGACTTGCCATCAGTTCAGGAGGTTTATGCCTTGGTTCAGTTAGAAGAAAGTAGAAGAAATGTGATGAATTCTATAGAGGGGGAGCCAGTTGCTCTAGCTGTTCGGGGAAGTTCAGATACTAATGTTGGAGGTGGTTCTAAGAAGGGTGACTCTTAGAAGAGAATAGATGATAAGAGTAAGCTTTGGTGCACTCACTGCTAGAAGGCAAGACACACCAGAGATACCTGTTGGGATCTCCATGGAAAACCTAAATGGGCACAGGATTTGGGTAAGAAGTCAACAACTGATCAGGGCAAGAAACCAAGTCAGCAGAATCAGAAAAGGTATAACTCATCTAATATGGCATCTCAAGAGACTAGTTCCATGGTAACTCAGGAAAGGCATCCAAGTTCTGACCTTAAGGAAGAGATCATCAACTCCTTCCATGACCATTTGGAGTTATATGGTAAGACTCTTCGCCAGATGGATACTCGTCCTACTCCTTCTACCTCTTTTGCATCTGCTTCAGGTAACACTGCCACTACCTTCCATATGTCATCTCGTACCTCTGATTCCCCTTGGGTAATTGACTCTGGAGCCTCAAACCACATGACCGATAAGTCAAATTTATTTCAGGCATACAATCTTCTCTCTAGGAGAGATAAGGTGAGAGTAGCTGATGGCTCTTTCTCCACCATAGCCGGCCAAGGAACCATATCTCTCCCACTCGGCCTTACCCTTTCTAACGTACTACATGCTCCTAAATTACCTATAAATCTTCTTTCCATTAGTAGTATTACTCACTCCTTGAACTGTTCAGTTACTTTCTATTCGTCTTCATATGTGTTTCAGGATTTGGCCTCGGGGAAGACGATTGTACAGGAAGCATAGTGGATGGTCTCTACGTGTTGGAGAATAAAGTTGGTCTTGTGGCTACAGAGTCTTTGAGTTCATCCAGTAAGAGTCAAGCCTATTTATGGCATAGTCATCTTGGTCGTCTTTCTTCATATTTTCCAGTCGGACAATGCAAAGGAATACTTCCATAGTTATCTCACAGAATTCTTTGCTTCAAGTCGATCACTTCAACGAAGCTCTTGTGCTAGGACACCTCAACAAAACGGTATTGCTGAAAGAAAAAACCGTCATCTTCTTGAAGTAGCTCGTGGCTTGTTAATCCATATGAATGTTCCAAAGCGCTTTTGGATGGATGTTGTTCTGTGTGCTACATGCATCATCAACCGTATGTCCTCTTGGTTACTAGAGTATAAGGCCCCACATCAGCTTTTGTTTCCTACAGCTCCGTTGTTCCCCATTCCAATGCGTGTTTTTGGGTGTCGTTGCTTTGTTCATAACTTGCCACCTACTCGGGGTAAACTTTATCCTCGTGCTATTCCTTGTGTCTTCCTCGTGCTATTCATCGGCTTCACCGGAGGTTGATCCTTCCCATCAGCCAGGTACACTTGCTTCTATTGATATGCYTGCTCCTCTCAATGTTGATTCCCCTGTCATTAATGATCTTGATGTTCCTATTGCTAAGAGAAAGGGGGTTAGATCTTGATGTTCCTATCCCTCACTTTGTGTCCTATGATCACATTTCACCTTCATTCCGTGCATTCCTCTCTTCTGTTGACAGTATCCCCGTTCCTAAGAATGTGGCAGAAGCTTTATCCAAACCTGAATGGACAGATGCAATGAAGGAAGAGATTGATGCATTACACAAAAATGGCACTTGGGAATTGGTGGATTTTCTTGAAGGGAAGGAAACAGTGGGTGCAAGTGGGGTGTTCACAGTGAAACACAAGACTGATGAAACTGTTGAAAGGTACAAGGCCAAACTAGTGGCAAAAGGTTTTGCACAAGTATATGGAGTGGACTATGCAGAGACTTTTGCCTCGGTAGCCAAGATGAACTCTATCAGAATTCTCCTTTCACTAGCGGCAAATCTTCACTGGGAACTTCACTAATTGGACATCAAAAATGCTTTCTTGAATGGTGACTTAGAAGAGGAAGTGTACATGAAATCTCTAGGTTTTTGTGCTAAAGGTAGTGAACAGAAAGTGTGCAAGTTAAAAAAATCTTTATATGGTCTGAAACAATCTCCTCGGGCCTGGTTTAGTAAGTTCCATTCAGCAGTTCAACAGATGGGGTTCAAACAATGCCAGTCAGATCACACACTATTTGTAAAGAAAGGTGAAGGGAAAATTGCAGCTCTAATTGTGTATGTGGATGACATAGT